ATGGTATATATTTATACTTCTCATCCAAACACAATTAAATTCACTCTATAGGAGACACAGTTTATCAGGAGAGGATTTTTTAATAATAACTCAGAATAAAACAGGAGAAACGACTTTCTACTTCTTACCTTTTTAAAGAAATGTGAGTAGAAAGTACAGATAATTGTGTAAAAATGTAAAGAGTAAAAGTAAAAAGTACGCTGAAAAATAATTACACAAGTAAAGTACAGACAACCAAAATTTCTACTTAAGTACAGTAACAAAGTATTTGTACTTAGTTACTTTACAACTCTGTTGGTGTGTAGCATGGCTCTAATACTTCATTGTAGATGACAAATAAAGTAGGCTCACATTTATTTATTTATGGTTGCCATACCCAGATGATCTTACAAAAACACACAAATACTGAACTTATCTGTTTTACAACCTAAAATTTGGTGTGGTAGTACCAGAGACTGATTCACAGCATATTCATATTTTCATTCAAAGCTTTGCCATTACAATTTTAAGTARACTTTTTTGTCTGTCAGCAAAATATTTTATAAACGACCAGATCTGGGTTCTGGATTCAGATATATAGCAAGAAACGGAGGACTTTTAAARTATTTCTTAAGCTCAGACAGCCGGTGGGAGTCAGGAACCTCAGGCAAGAAGGAGAGAACAGGTCAGGGACTGTTTAACTCTGGACCATAGCAGAGACAAAATATACAGTTCACCAACCTCCTCAGGCAGGTGTGCTGAGCTCAGAAGGCACTGAAATCTTTTTGTGTTGACAGTCCYCACAGCACTGATAGTGATGACACCATAACTGGTGGGAGAGCAGCTGGAAAGCGAGGCCTTTAATCCTGAGAGATGGTCTGGAACAGGGACAGGCTGAACTCGTCGATCCGGGGGTAAAGTGAGGGTCATGCACCGAAGGGCAGAGAGCAGGAGACAAAGCCAAAGGGTGATCCAGAGTGYGTGGTCTGGTGGGCACAGAGTGTGGAAAGCTGTTTTAAATGAGGCTAAAGATCCAGAAGGCCAAACTACTGGAGTTGTCCATCTGAGGGGCATGCGTAGACATTTAAACACAAAATGTTCAGTTTGAGATATTTGTATGACATGTGCCCATGGGTCAGCCCCACTTAGTTTACAAAATTTATGCAGAGTGAAAACAAAAAACTCTCAGTTGACTGGAGATTGGCATGACGTCCTGAGATGTTRCATCTGATAGAAAGCATCAAGCAGAACAGAGGGACATTAAGATGCTGACACCCCTCTAGATAAATGTGTTAAATTAGTTAAGGAAAATATGAGCACCAAACAACAACCCTAGGTTCTCCCTTGAGAACCAGACCAAAATTTTATGTGCWYCCCTGTGTATGAATATTCATATTTTTATACAGATCATACACACATGCATATCTTTTTATCTAACTATCCATCTGCCTATAAACATTCACACATTTACACACACATTTATACCTAAAACATTTAATCAAAATCTATGAAACAATTTAAATTAAAAACCTAATAATGATTTGTATATGTTCACTAACCAAGTTTTTAATATAGCTACTAAACTAATTTTTCCTTGATATTTTCAAACTCTTTCTCTTTATATAGCTTCTCTCTTTTTCATGTTTATAACATTCCAATGTAACATGCTCTATTGYTTCATATTTATGTGGGGGAACTACTCTCCCAGAGCAACTCTTGACAGGCTCTGAGTCTTTGGCTGTGTCCAAAACGACAGGCCGGGTCCTCCGGAGGACCCAGACTCCCCGGTCTCGGCNGAGACAGAGGACTGATGTAAAAAGTAAGTGAATTTTATTATATACAGGTGCAGGGGTCTTGGGGACGGGACCTGGAAACAGAGTTATGGTAGAGGTGAGTAATGGGCAGATTTTCCAGTAGAGTCTTTCACAGGTGAGTAATGGAAGGAGTTGCTTACAAGTTGGAGAAGGAGATGAGTCTTGGAGGAGTTGGTCCAACAGGTGAGGTTCCACAGGTGAATATTTACAGGTGCAGTTATATTTACAAATCCTCGGGGCTGGCTGCACATGGAACTCAGGAGAGTGCAGTAAGTGTTTCTCAGGCAGGGAGGCAGGCGTGCTGGAGGTAGCTTCTAGAAAACAGGCAAGAAACAAAAACGGACACGGGTAAGTMATTTCTAGATTCATAAACACAAGGAGCAGGCTGAGCTCATACCCAACAGAGGCGATGCTTCAGCGACGAGGTGAACTCCAGCTCAGCCTTATAAAGCCTGTAGGTGATGAGTTCCAAATCAGGTGCAGGTGTGAGTGATTAATGCAGTGCCGAGGACAGGAGGTAGGGGGTGAAAACATAGAAATGCCTCAGGATCCAGCCTGAGTTCTGGAACCTGGCCAGGCGAGGTTCCAATCGGGCCGGCCCGGTTTGACGACKTGTTTTTACTTTGACGAGTGAAAATGAGTCTGGCAAGTCATTAAAAAACATATAGATCTATGAAAAAGTGACTGCTTTCATAACGGTAGCATGTAACAAGCTAATATTGCTAGCTTACTCGTCAATGCCATCTGCGTCTCGCTATAGCCGCTTTCTGTTGCTGTTGTATGGCCAAGTACAGCCTTCGGAAACTTTCCGCTCTTCTGCGCATCACCATTCGTCGTCTGCCTCGACGTTTAAGGACYGTTATGCACGCTTTTCTGATAAACAGTTCCCACCCACTTCAAGGCGGCTCTGATGACAGTGCAAAACATCCCGGGCTGGGCAGGGCCGGACCTAGACCATCTGGAGGCCGGCCCTGCAGTGCGTAAACGCCTATAGAGTCCAAATAAATAATCAAAGATGTTTTCATACTGTATATAGATTTCCCTACCTGCTCCCATTCCATGGACCAGATTTACTGGCATAGAAGTTTTTTGGAGTACCAGACAATGACATTGCCACAACTGCAGAACCCGGAGGAATATAAGGGAATATAAGATAAAAAACTTCTAGGCTGAAATGGCTACCTGGAAAGATAAGTTAAAGCTTATTTGTAAACACCAAAGACACAGTAGAAATAACCTCTCAAGAATTATTGCCACCAGTACATTTGAAGTATTATGGAAGATGCCATTTGCCAAAAGAGAAAAAAGCAATATCAATCAAAAGCATATTTCTGTTGTTTTCTTGATTCGTTTGTCACAGGTGAATTGAGTAAACCAATTTCAAAGGCATACTGTGACTTCAAAGCTGGTCTTCACCCTCCTACATTGCAACACAAGTGCAGAGTCTGTTTTCTGTGTTGGACTTTAAAAAAAAATACAAGGAACAGCTTGGCCTTATGACTTATGATGACTTTTACCCGTGCTTCAAATGAGAACCATCATACGATCATCAGGGCCTCAGCCTCAGGCCTATGGAAATTATCACAAAATGTAAATGGTAAATAGACTGTACTTATATAGTGCCTTTCTATCCAACCAGGATACTAAAAGCACTTCACACTACAATCAGTGTCCTCATTTACCCATTCACACAGCACTCTTACAGGGCTATTCAACTAAATTGCTCCGGGGGCCACAGTTACTGCAGGTCAACAGCTGAGGGGCCG